CCTTTAAATGCGGTATAAAAATAAAAATGACTTGAATTAGAGTTTAATTTTGAGAAAAACCTAGAAATAGGGCTGAGGAAACAAAGGGCTGACACCGTTTGATCGTGCAATTCTCAAGCATGTTACATTAACTACTACTTTACTTTACTACTACTACTACTTAACTCCACTTACTATGTTTTACTTTAATCATTTTTTTAAAACTTTCTACCAAATTATGTTGTTCCCCCATCAAAATGGTTTTGTTGTTTTGTATGTTGTTTTTGCAGTTATAGACCTACCCCATAGAAATGTTAAATGTGAACTACTTGTACTTTGTTGTTTTATCCACATTTGTTTATCCGCTTCCTTTCTTTCATTATTTCTTTTCACTGCTCTAGGAAACAAACTGTACAATTGTTCAGTTATTGTGAATTTGAACAGAGACTTGTTCCACTGTTATGCAACGTCTATATTTAACCCTCTCAGTGTGAGCGTCTTTGTGACTTGTCTGTGTTAAACAAAGGACCAATCCATCAGGCTCTGTCAATGCACCAGTCTGCCACCTTCACTGTGGATCAGCTTTAACATGAAGAATCACACAGGCCCCATCTGTTTGTTTAGACAATAGTACAGGGCAGGTAAGGCAGCATTCACATAGGAGTAAACTGGGATAAAGTTGGGCTACAATCTAGACAAGACCTCGCCTAAACCAGGGCTAGAAAAGGACCAAACCAAGTATAATGTACATCAGAATTACAGGTGATTTGTACATATTTTTAGGAACTGCAGAAGCTTTTAAAAAAGAGTAAAGCGTTACGTTTTGAATGAATGAATTATGCATTCAGTTTTGTTGTTTTAATTTATATTTTGTTTCTTATATTTACAGTAAGTCGTAAGTGAAATTGTAAATGCAAAGTTGCTGTTCATATGTTTTGTTTTGTTTTTTTCTTGGAATTCTGTCATTGTTTAATTAAGTTTGGCATTATAAGTACTTTTTTACTTCAGCCTAAACCCTCTCGGTCATGTTCTATGGGTTTTTATTTTATGTTTTGCTTCGTTTTGTAGTTCTGCAAAATGACTGAATAAATTACTACTACTACTATTAAATGCAGCAATCATTTAGTACTCAGAGTGTTTATCCATACACTTAAAGGTCCTATATAACACAAAATTGATCCTTGAGAGCTTTAAGTCATGTTATAATGTTATTACCTCATCAAAAACACCCTGGATTGTGTTTTTTTACATTCACAAATGTTTGAGTGATCCTTCTTGTCTACATCTCAAAAGCTCAAAATGGTCTCTTCCATCTTGTGATGTCATAAAGTGGTAGTTTTAGGGAAAGAGAAGCTCATTCTCCAACAGGCTCCACTCAAAGATGATAGATACAGGACTACAATCATACTATAATACAACAATACAATAGAACAATACAATATAACAATACAACAACTCACCCTTATGTAACAGATAATACTCCCTACAACTGTACAACAAATCACCCTTATGTAACAAATAAGCCTGTCAATCATCACATCACTGCTGCACTGTCTTCTATGACCTCTTGTATAGAGCTGTGATTTTATACTTGTTTACTTCTCTTTCTATTTTATTTTGACATGTACATTTACATTTATATAAGTATGTCTTATCTGACACCTGTCCCTATCTTTTTTGCTCCTTATTTCAAATTATTGTATTGTTTGAGCTACTGTGTCTAAATAATTTCCCTTGTGGATCAATAATAAATAAAATAAAGTTTGTCCAAGATTTCAAGTGAACCTTTTACTCTGTTCAGTACAGATTGTTAATTCCAGGGTGGAAGTCATACGAATGATTCTAGTGAATGTGGATGGAGTTTAAAAACACAGTGGAGCACTTCCTGTATAACAACATGACATCACGAGGTGGAACAGAGTGTTTTAGAGAAGAACTCAGCCTAAACATGCAGAGTTTGTGTGTTGAACATGTGTGAATGAAACAAAACACAACTCCAGGTTTGTTTTTGATGAGGAAAACAACATAACATTTTTAAAGTGTGTTGCCTTTATCCCATCTTCAACCAGGTAAGGCACAGACCCAAAGATTTTTTTTTTTTATGTTTTACTTTTTATTGTTTTCCATGATGTGCCAAAGATTGCTACAGTCTTATGTGCTGAACCGTAACACAATAAACAATCTTACAAGCATCAGTTCGAGTGACACACCCCAAAAGATCTTCTTACAAAAAATACATATCAAATTACAGTCATCGCCAGTCTTTTGGAAATTACAATCTCGATCAAATATTACAGCAGTGACATGCCAATCTGTTAAAGATGCAATGTGTAACTTTTCTGAGGAAGGGTACAATATTTTCACTTGCTGGCTTGCTTACCTATATATTATTGCCTGGAATGTTCCAAAGTATGGCATTTAAAACACCACGAAGCCAAATTACAAGTACAATCTGCTTTTTTTTTTCTTTTTTTTCAGTACAAATGATTAAAATCGAGTGCAAGATAGACAAGCGTAATAGTTAATGCCCCACTGTGGAACATTCCAGGTAAACAGCATTTCCCAGGACATAAATAGGTGACGGAGCCCTACCAGAAAAGTTACACTGTTCATCATTTTAAAAAGACATAAAGAGTAAAATGTGTGTAATTAGACGGCCAAGGGATTTGGTCACAGTACATTTACAAGAAACAGCATTGTGACATACAGTCGCTCTGACAATTTGCTGAATGTCTCACCAAACTCTCCACCCCAATTTCCTTCTGCTTACTGGCCATAAAAGTTCACGAGAGATCATTTTGTCAGTATAAATGTGCAAATTGTTCAAGACTAGTTAAAATACATGAGGAGTCAGGTGCATCTTTCTCCAATGCGCCACAGCTGAATTGAAATCGCAGTTTGAAATGTCAATAAACAACAGAAAAAAATTGAGAAAAAATGCTAAGCCTGTACTTTAGATCTCTACAAACATGGTCTAAAATATGTGATTCTTGTGTTAGTTTAACAGTCTTCTCTCAAATGCTCCCTGGATGTGTTTAAAATCTGCACTCTGAGCCGATTCATGATTTGACAACATTCACTTCAAATCTAATCTCAATCACAGAACTTCAAATGTTTTCCAAATCGGATGCAACAACTGAAGAAAAGCCATGAGTCTACACACACAATACATAAAACTGCCAAAAATATGAGAAAAGTACAAGCCAGATTTGACAGCATTCCTCGCGAGTTCCATCTTTTGTTCCGCTCCTACCACAAATATGTATTGACGTTTTGGTCGACTGGTCTTGTGCACAGAATTTTCATTATTGAGATTTTGGTTGCACTGGGGAAAATAACGAGCTTGTTTCCTCAGCAGGGATCCTCATGCTTCCCTTTGAAATGCAAAACAGAAGCTCTATAAAATGCCAACAGAGTGCAGAGGTACAAAAATCTGGGTACACCTACAATCAAAGTACTTTCGCTTTCCGTCATATACAGCGTAGACATAAGCCTAGACGATGCTACATACAAAACAATGCAAAAAATATATAAAACTTACATTACAATGCATGTACAGTGATTTTACAGGTAACCGCCGGCAAAACTTGTTGGCATTGGTTATTCATTCTCCCCTTCTTCGACAAAAATCAAGTTTTTTAAGGTGGTCAATTAGATACTGCATAGTTTCATGTGGGGGTTAGGGTGGGTTAGCAGGGTTAGGGTGACTCTTGTATTGGTCGCAGTTCATATTTCAGTCTTCTCTCAAATGTGGATGCTCCTGGACGTGTTTAAAATGTGCAATGCGAACTGAATCTTGTTTTTTAAAAAGCATATCTAATCACAATTGCCACACCAGTCACATTTAGATATTTTCCAAACTTGTTCAAGCCTAATGTAAAGTTATATGTTTGATATTATAATTAGAAAGCCATCTAATTGACTGAAAATACAGGCATATAGTTTTCACAGACTAGTGCCATTTATTCCAACTATACTCATTAAGCACAATTCGCCATATTTGTAGTTTTGTTTGATATGGTAGACATAGATTGTGCCTCACAGACATAAAGAGCAAGGCTGAAGTAACATTCATTGAAGCAACATTTTTTTATGTCTATCTAGAAATACCTAAATACAATCTGGTCGGAAAAAGACAACGTGTTTAGTTTTAGTGCGGGTTTCAAGTACAGAAGCATCACTGTGAAAGTCCAGACGAACTAAATAAATAAATTCAAGGCATTTCAGAAACAATTTTGTAACATCAATACATTACAATCTGTGTCGAGAAAGAAATGAGAATTATTTTTAAACCATGATTTGATGAGATTTACAAGATAACACACGTTTGTTTTAAAATATGCATGTTATCTAATGAAGATTTAAAGTTGGACAGTGTTAAAAGTGTACTGAATAACATTTCTGCAGTAGATTTTGACAGACAGTCTCTATTGAAATGTCCTTGCTTTGCTTGTAAAGTTCAACAGAATGACACTAAACGTCTCTCCAGTATCTCCTTGTGATGGCATCAGGCCGAATTATAGGTCAAATCTGTGGAAAAGTCTGGTGGCCTCCCTCGCTTGCAGTAAGAATGCAAATACGAAAATACGAAGGTGAAAAAGAAAAACGTGACATTGTGTATCTTTATAAACCGGTATATTAACACACACTAACTAAACATATGTTTCCAATTCCTCTTTTATGAAATGAGTAACAAAGAGCGCTGTATCAACAATAGCGTTTTGAAATTTTGTAACAGAAGATCTTATTATGGAAAAATGTGCGCAGGCTCTAAACATTTTTTCTCAAAGGATGTCATGAATCACGATAACGGGTTTGCGGGAACAGCGGTGCATCCCTTGGAGAGAACGCTGCTCAATTCTAATATTATTGAATAAAACAATTGTATTACCTTCTAAATATCTCTCATTTCTCTCTGAACACAGCTTGTACATGTCAGTAATAGTATTTGTGTGTGCATATTTGCCTATTTTACGAGGTTGGTAGCCCGTGTCTGAATGGTGACTCTGCGCGGCGGTGGTTCATTCTATGTTCCTATTGGCTATCAGGTCCTGCAGCTGGAGCGCTCCGCCCCCGATGAAGCAGAAGGCGGGGCAAACCGGGGCAGAGCAGTCCAGCGGTCCGTTCCAGAGCATCCGCAGTGAGTGGGCGTCATAGAAGGTCACCCGGCCTTTGTCACAGTCCAGACAGACCCCCAGGCGAGGGGGCAGAGGAGCCGTGAGAGGGTGGGACAGGGAGCTGTGACCGCTGCTGCTGTGAGAGAGCACTGCCCCCTGGCTATGACTCTCGGCATGACTCTGAGTGTGGCCCTGAGGCAGCAGGATCTTCCCCATGCCCATCGTCAGGAAGCAGAAGGAGGGGCAATCCTGAGCATCCTCTGCACCGCTGTCATGGCCGCTGTCCGGGTCACAGCTACGGATGGGCACAAGGAACAATTCAGAAAGCAGAAAATACATATACTCATATTTACATCATTTTAACATTTATGTTCTCATACTTGTGAAAAACAGAGTCACAGAGCACCCACAGATATTATTTAACAAATTACAATTTCATTCAAATATTACAGGAGTGAAATGCCAAGCTGTTAAAGGTGAATTATATAACTTTTCTGGGGGAGTGTAAATCTATCTTCGCAGGCTAGCTTGCCTATCAATTATTGCCAGGAATTTTCCAAAGTATGGCAAAAAACAAGTGCAAAGGCAGTGTAATGTGACCATGAAGGTTCGGACTTTGGACCAAAATAAAGCAAAACTGCCGAAGAAGTCTAAAGGGGAAGTAAAAGTGGCACTTCAAAGGTTAAAATAAGAGGGCGAGTTACCGAGGGCTGGTGATGTCTGGAGGAAGGTGAAACCACTCCTGGAGTTTGGTTTCCTGTCCCACTCCCACCTGTATGAGACAGAACAGTCTTAAAATGTTAAAAACAGACCAATCAGTTATTTATTAATCCCCTCTTACCTTCACAAGGTAAGATCCAGGCTCCACTGAGCATGCCCAGTAGTGTCTGCCCTGAGTCACTGCCAAGTCGGCCACCAGCAGGTCAGAGGTCAGGTGACAGGAAGTGAGAGCACGATCAGCCGCCTGCAGCAGAGACAGTCCCGGGACGCTGCGGGCATACGTCAGGCCTTTACCCAGAGCCAAGCGGTCAGCGTGGAGGCCCCAGCGAGAGTCCAGAGAGAAACTGAGGACTGAACACAGGCCAAGAACACATTCATCAGAGTTAAATAATTCATTATGGTGGTGTATTTATACGCAAACAACAACAAAGCAAAACATTAATAAGGGGGGAATATTAATTTTCACTGTCAGATTTTGTAGGCAATGACCAAAACAAAAGTATTTTCTTCAGATTTATCATGTGGTCTTGTACCAGTTCTGATATGGAGCAAAACCACTGTAAACCATTAAGAAAATAAGTAATTTTGTCCTAGCTATTACTTTTCAGTATCAATACTTGTTCAAATGAGTATCTAGGATTGATACTAGTTTTCGCATCCATTAGTATTTGGGTATTGAACCTTGAGCCCATCTCACCAGGAGCAGGCGGGGTGTGCAGATACACCTCTTCACTGTACTCTCCAAATCCAGCCTTGTTGCATCCTCTGACCCGGAGCACGTACACACTGTCCATCTGCGGCCGCTCGATCACCGCCGATGTCCCTCTCACTTCGTCCACGCGTTGCCATGACACGGCAGCGTTTGGCGACCCGGTGCCCCCCCACGTGGCTCCAGTGGCCCCCGAGCGACGCTGGTATTCCACAGAGAAATGCCAGGCTGGGGCAGAGTCCTGGGGCAGGCGCCAGCACACAAACAGCTGGTCATAGGCTAACGTCTTCTGGGTGTCGATGACCGGGGCGAGAGGGGCTGCAGGGGGGAAATGTAGAGGGCAATAATTCATTCAGTGTAAAAACAGAGAAGTGTCATTTTAAAAACTCATGGAGCCTTCCAATCTACTCTTGGGCTGACAGTCTTTGAAAAACCAAAACTACTTTAGAGCAATTAAATCATTTCAATCACCATTAGGGCTGCAAATGATTTGTCAACTATTAAAATAATTGTAATAGTATTTAGATTATTATTAACTGGAATATACAGACTGTAGAAACATAACAATTAATTATTAAATCAAAATGTTTTCATCAGTAGTACTTTAACGGTAAATATTCTCAATGTAGAAGCCTTAAGTTACTATATTTCCACTTTTATTTGGCGATGGTTAAAGCCTATTGTCTTTCGCTTATATTTTCAGTTAAGATGCTAACAAAAACAACAACTCAACAAAGAATGTATGAATAATTAAAGCGCACAAACAACATGAAAGCACCAACCCTGTATGAAGTTCACATTGCTGATGAGTTTAACTTCTCTGGAGGCGTCAAGGTGAAAGTGTCTGAACGAGGGGTCGGCCGACAGGGTGAAACTCTGGAGGTTTTCTATGGCTTTCACCAGTCTGCGGGGAAAAAACAGAATAGCAGACAGTTTTATTTTTTAAGTGCACTATGTAACTTTTGTAAACCTGAAAAGTAACGTAGTGCAACTTTATAAATACATATTCTTTCATTCTTATCATTGAATGGATTTATTTGTTAAAAAATGCTCAAACTTAAGGAATACCCTAAGCCTAAGGTTATTACAATAATAAACCTAAGGTTATTACATTTTTTGATTATCCTAGCCTCTATAGATCTTCAAACATAAAAGAACACATTGTATTAAGTGCAAGTGTTTGTTTATCACTTTCCCTGCACTTGCCTGTTGTGTGTGACTCTGGCCGCCTGCACAAAGCATGGAGGGTCTGTCTCTCTGAGCAGCTCATGGGTAAAATTGACGAGTCCCCCGCTCTCCTGCAGACCACGGCGTTCAGATACCTGCACCGACAGCGCCTCCTGTCTGCGGCTGCGTGTACCCTCCAGGGCCTGAGCCAGAGCCGCCTGACGCTCTGAGACTGCGGCCCCCAGCTCACGGACACTCTGCACCAGGTATTGCATCGCCACAGCACTGTTGGCCTAAACATACAGAAACATTCAATACTGCAAGGTTTATATACAGTTTACTCACTGTTAATGTTCAAATAATACACACAAGAACTCAATCAGTAAATACCATCCATCTATTTTACCTCCATTTGTTTAATTGTGGCCTCAATCTGGGCAATCTGGCTCTTTATTATATCTTGGTTGGCCAGAATGAAATTGGCCTGCTTAGTCACTCTGTCCTGAAAAACAAGCAAACAGGTTTCAACTTAATTTTAAAAATAATGTTTTGTATCAGGGGTACACTTCACCCTGGTACCTTCAGAGCCTGGTAAGCCTCTGCTATGGGCATTACTTTGTGCCCATGATGAACCCGCCGGAGCTTACAGTACTGGCACAGGAGCTTCTGGCAGTGACGACAGTACCACTGCATTTTCTCATGCTCGTGGACTGTGCAGGTCAGAACCTACAGCAAAGAAAAGATCCTCTTTGAGACCCAAGAAAACTCTAAAATCCCAAACCTAAATCTCACTAACCTTTGGCCGAAAGTTATTTGTGGGTAAAATGTGCTCATGCTGAGCTCGGGGTGTGCCCCACGGGTGGTAGAGTTTAAAACATTCATTGCAGAAGTTGGCTTTACAGTCAGCGCAGCCCTTTGTGGCCTCCAGAGACTGTGGAGGCTTACAGAAGCCACACATGATGGCCACACTCCCCAGGCTGATAGTGTGTCTGTACCTACAAGGAACACAGGAGCAGAGAGATAAAGAACAGCCTAAGACCTGTACACCTAAAGCACATACATCGAAGTTTGTCCTGCTTTACTTTCCATAGTTATGACTTCTACTCTTTAACTGCCTGACCTGAATACGTCACTAGCAGCTGCCCTGTTAGAGCGTCTTGAGCAGTGAAACATCACATTAGTTTGACCTGTCCAACAGAGACCTGCCTCAAGGCAACAGCTGCACCTCCAACCTGCAGCCGCAAAACCCATAACAGCCACAATAACATACTTACTATTTCTGAACACTTTTACTGCTGTGGAACTGGGACAGAAGACAGTTGTCAGACTTTATGACTCTTTTTGTACAAATAGTGATACTGCAGTCTGTCTCTCTCTCTCTCTCAGTCTGTCTGTCTCTCTGATAATGGCTTTTACAATGAATCACCATCAAACAAATGAGTTTCTCTCTCTTCAGCAGCAACAAATCAACTAAGCTTTCTCTCTATTTCTGCTTCTACCTCACTGCACACTAATTACATTGTTTTTGCTTTTTGTTATGTACTTGATTTATCAGGGAAACACTGGCATAGAGTGTATTTTAATGTTGCTCCAATAATAGTAATAACTGTAGATGCTTTACCTCTGCACAATGCGTTCTAGTGTGAGGTTACGCAGGCACTCAGTGAGTCCTCGCTCTCCCAGCTCCACGTCCTGCTGACAAGAGGGGCAGGGAAACAGCATCGGGGGGCCAGTGTCCTTCCTCCGTCGTCCTGGATACGACCCACACACTGCACCAGGAAACAAGACAACTCACATTTAAACTAGACTATAGTGCTGTTACATAAATGTAATCTGCTAGAGCCCAGTAAAGATGCACAGTAGCAGCTTTTACTTTCTTGTCTTGTCTCTGTATTTCCTTGTTCACTTTAATATGGCACTGACAACATCAAGAATCAGCAACTTTTACTTTTCATAGGTTAGATGCCAATTAGGGGGTTAACCTGATATAATAATAAGCACTTCACTTGTAAAGTCATGTTACACTCATTCAACAATTGGACTGAAGAAGGCTCAGGTTTGTTGGTGGATGGAAAGCCAGCAGCTTGTGTCCATAGAGATGTTTTTGCTTTGCTACCAGCATTTGGTAAATTAAATGTCACGTCCTGCAGACATCCTCGAACTAAACCTATAAACTGTCACTAATTAAATGACAAATGAAACTTGCACCGGTAATTGTAGGCCTACCTGTTCTGAGGATATGCTCCAGGCGGTCTGGTGTCCTGGGTGGGGGTCTGCGTCCTTGTCGGGGGGAGCGAGTGTTGGGTGTGGAGGCAGGAGAGAGCGGCTCAGGAGGCAGATCTGGAGGAGGGTAGCCTCTCTGTACTAAGACCTCCGCGGCACACAGGAGACACACACTGTGCTGGCAGGGCAAGAGAATGGGCTGCTTCACAATCCCATCACACACAGGGCAGTGCAGCTCCTTCTCCATGCTCCTCATGCTCGACTGCAAGTTAAATATACAATATTTTAAATAAAATCAAATTATGAATAGATTTATGATTGCCTTATTGTTAAGACAGGTATTCCCTTAATCATGTGGCCTTTTAATCGTGATGAGATATAAAATAATACTATGTTAGTCTTGTATAACTGTTTGACTGCAAGATAAATATAAAATCCGTGTTGAATAGACGTATTTCCTCACTGGTTCAGTGTCGTAGCTCCCTGTTGACAATCAGGAAGCTACTAGTTTTGGTAAGATATTAACCTGTATAATCTAAGAAGTGCACAAACAATATTAAAGGGTAGCATATGGTGTTTCTTTAAATAGACCTTCCTTTTGCACAAAATAAGCTGCTGAGGCCTGGTCCAGCGTCACAGCCCTGCATCCCGTCTCTATGACAACCTGCATCAGCACCGGTCTGTGCGACCGTACTATCTTACAACGATGAAAATAGATTACAATATTTATCTGACTGTGATTTCTCGATAATCGTTAGATATATTTTGCATTTGGGTCAATTTACTGGTGTTCCTGCGTCTTGTTTGAGACATTCTGCTTCATTAGCCGTCTGATGCGTACAGCCTAAAGGTTAATTAATAGAGAAGACCTCTAGCCAAGGTAAAATAATTATTGGATTATTATTCCTATTGGAAGTCTAACATTTCAGCATCATAAATGATAGGGATATACAAACCAGCGCGTCCATGATAGACGCAAACGCTTGTAGTTCTGCCTCGGCCATGCTTCGGTCTTGTCGGCTAATTTCCTCCACAGACTGCAGACTCTGGACTATCCCTCGGACATATGGACATATGGTCGTATGTCTGGCTCTCAGCAAGAAAAACCTGTCCAAGAGAAAGTGCACCAAACCAGCGCACAGCTTTGGTATCTCCGTGCGCTATGGGCTATGGCACACACACCGAGCTCTACCATTTGTTCATAAAGCACTATCAGAGGATGGAGCATTGGAAGTGCAGGGATGGAGGCGGGATAAATAAAATATTCCAATGACAATATCAACACACAAACCATAAAACACTACTTTGTGTCAACAAAACAAATTAAATAAAATGTGTTTAGCGCGCGCATATATAGAAGTGTTAAATAGTTTAATGCACATGATAATTAAATAAGAAACATGTGGTAATTTGTCTCATTCCCCCATTTTGCCACTAGATGGCAGTAGAGATTTACGGTCCGTCCCTTTATTTGTCCGTGTCCGGAAACAAAACTAAATATATGATGTTTCTAACCGGAATGAAGTATGTGACACACCAGTCCCACGGTTGTTGTAGCAACGGGGGACGCGCCTGCGTCTTCTGCTTTTTATTTTTCACTTAAAACGAGGAGTGACTAAACCGTTTTATACGGTTATTTACCAAACTAAACTTACGACCTCTCGATCTTTCAAAATCGTCCCGATTTGCTTTTTCGGATCAAAAACGATCAAATAAATTTAGCGGTCTGTTTTATAAGTATAACGTTAGCTCGTTTAGCTCGTTGTTTAACATGAGTGCGGTTCACAGTCTGGTCCCCGCGCGCTTCCTCACCATCACAGCGCACCTGGTCATTGTTATCACCATCTTTTGGTCGAGGGTAAGTCTCGTCTCCAAATCACAACAGATATGATCAGTGGTTAATAATGGCAGTGTTTATGAGCAATATAACGTTATTTGTTGAGATTTAACTGCCACGTTATTGTGTTCACTTTCTTCTGTGTTTGTTTTGTTTACAGGACAATAATGTAAAAGCTTGTCTTCCTTTGGAGTACACACAAGAACAATATGAGGAGGCGGACAAAAGGTAAAACAAACATAAACACACACGTGTGACTGGGCCTTTATCTGTATCATGTGTTTTGTTTGCAGGTTGGTGGTGGGGCTGGCCGTCACACTGGGCCTGTTCGCCATAGAGCTGGCTGGTTTCTTCTCAGGAGTGTCCATGTTCAACTGCAGCCAGGGGCTCCTTTGTATCCTTATCAGATCTATCAGACTCATTACGCATAATTTAGTTTTTTGTTGTTGTTTTTTTTGGTTCATTACATAGACTCTGCCAAAGGTATATGTTTTATTTCCATGACTCTTAGTCTCTTAATGTGACTTGTTGTTAACCCTGTAGCGATTGGAGCTCATGCCAGTGCCTCAGTAGCTCTTCTTTTCTATCTGTTTGAGCAGTGGGACTGTAGCGTCTACTGGTGGATTCTTGCCATTTGCAGGTTGGTAAATAGTGTATAGTGTAAATGTTTCCTAAAATTGTTATTTTTCCTGACGAACTTCTATACCAGCCCTGGCTGTGCACTGCAGTGCATCCGTCTCCTTATCATTTTTTGTGTTTGAAAAGTGGGAATGCTGGACATACTGGGTTATATTTGCCTGCTGCAGGTGTGTGTACAAGTGTTGATTTATGTTATAAAATGTAATTGTTAAGTAGAAATGTAACACTGTACTGTTATACTGACTATTTAATTAAACAAGAAGAGTTAGATAAATATATTCATACGCTCTTGTCTGTTTTATGTGTTCCAGTGTCCTTCCAGCCTGTGTGGAGATCGCACTGTTTATCGCAGTGTTTGGATTTAAGAAAAAGGTTTCATAGTTACATGTCTAAGTAGGACTTCTTTTAATATTTTTATATCTGCTGTTATTGTCTACAAAAATTTATTTTTGATATGTCACTCACTCCTTGTATAGAATATACTGTTTAAAAAAAATAAATAAATAAAAAAAATAAAGTAAATAAAAATCGATGACATGAAATTATTTTTACATACATTTCATTCATACTTTTCACACAGTGTTGTAGGTAAGTATAGTGTATCCATTCATGGGCATGAAAAATGATGACTGCTGCCAAGTGAAACGTCCTCAAATGTAAATGAAATATCATGAATAGTTCTACAGACAGTACACATTAATTAACATGTTATATCCAATGTATAATAGAGACTAATATTACGTTAAGTGTAACACAAGCGATATTCTTAAAAAAAAACAAAAAAAAAACAGGTGCAGCCAAGAGAAAGATATTTATTGTTGTTTTGTGACTGTGTCATAAATAATTATATCAATGCACTTTACTTGGTTTAATGTTAGTTCATGTTGGCTCCGCCCCCGGGTCCGTCCGCTCTTCTGCTCCGTGGCGCTGCTTTGGTTCCTGGTTCCTGAAGCCGGTGTAGCCTTTAGCTGGTCCAAAGAAGTTTCATTTTTTTTACACCTTTCCGACTGTTTTTTGTGCATTAAAATGGGTATGTATTACATCTGATAATCTGCAATTAAACTGTGCTAAATGTACATATTTTGACGTGTCTCAACGTGATGTTTGCTTCGTCTGAATTTTGACTTGCTTACACCAAATCTCATTCTTTTAAATTATATTAAACCTCTTCAAAGCTGCTGTGTGAAATACATTAAGTTTATTTATTTATTGCATTGACGGGGCTGCCTCCAGTTAAACCATGGATCTATTATCAGAGTAAAACTAATGTGTCGGAATTGCTCCTGTGCGGACACTGACGTGGCCTTGTTCTGTAGTACCAGAGACCGTAAATATACAGTCTGTGGTTGTACAAGTACTCAGCTCACTCCAGCTCTGAATCTCTGAATGTGGAGAGCGAACATGAGAAAAATATACTGTGCTGCTCAGTGTATTTAGGATTTTTTAATTTTTTTTTTATGGTGGGCAGTGACTTCAGTGGATGCCGCCACAACTCACTTGGTGCCTTATAAAATATAATGGGGTAAAGCAATGTATATAACTTTCTGGTGGAGGGTCCGCAACCTGCTTGTGCATTAAGATGTTATGGCTTTCCTTGTAATGTTTCACAACATGTCATTAAACTTAAGGCTAAGTTACGGGTCAGGTCCCAGAATCAGAATTTATTTGTCATTTCAGTATAAAAAAAATACACAGAAACGAAATACTGCACTCAGTTTCAGGTCAACAACAACATAGATAATAATAAGAATAAATAGTTAAAATATTGTATGTCAAATACAGTCTTTAAAAACCAGCCCCCACCCGCCCCTGTTTTCTAAAGTGCGTTCCAAGTCAGTGCTGTCTTGTAAGGTGCATTAGTGTCAGTCAGAATGCATGTTATTTTTTGGAGTTATTTTAATAACTTTTTTTTTTTATCACATCTTTTTTTTTTTTATATCTGATCTCTGTATTGAATTAAGTGCAATATGGGTAAGTATAATGCCATACTGTGGAACATTAAAGGCAATAACATAACAAGCTGGTAGCAAGAACAGTTTCCTAATGCTCTCTTCGTGGATAATGAGAAGTCAGTATTGACAGATGATATTTTTGCCCTTTATGAGAGCGGGACATCGTCACATTCAACACCTAATAATAATCTATGTTCTCTGTGTCCTTTCTGTCCATCTGCTCATGTGTAGCTGTGAACACGAGCACATCACTGGTGCTGTCCAGCCTCCTCTCTGTGCTGGTGTTTGCTGGGATGCAGATGTTCAGTAAACAGCTGAGCTCCACCGAGTGGCTCACCATTCTGGGAGGCTTCCTGGGCTCAGTCCTCTTCATCTGCTCCCTCACTGTATCCTTGTCTTCTGCAGGTGTACTCCAAAAAATAACCCTAAATATGAAGTTCTTTTGTCATTTTAAACACATTATTAGTTAATGTCAGTAAAAGAAAATGATTTAATTGTTATTTGGCCGTAGTGTCAATAACTGTGAGTAACTGGGGAAAAAAGAAGAAAGTGATGTTTCTTCTAATATTAATAGTAACATTTTAAATTGTGAGATCCCTAGTATGATATTTAATATAAAGTTCAGATAAATGGAATACAACAGGTCCTCCTATAAATGATTTGTTTCCTCAGCATCTTTACCAGGCATTTAATAACCTTGAAAATCTCATCTTTGGAAAGGGATTTCAAGCCAAAATCTTCCCAGAGAGTAAGTAATGTACAGTAAACATAAATAAGAAATACTGTAGGTGACATCTCATCTATATGGTTGCTCACATTTTAATTTCTCCTTCTAGTTTTGCTGTGTCTGTTCCTCTCACTGTTCGCCTCAGGTCTGGTTCACAGAGTTTGTGTTACTACATGGTAAGTTTATATTATGCATAAAACATGTATTTGATAAAGAAGATTAGGGCTGTGCAATTTGAATCGAGATTAGCTTGGATAATTTTGATCGCGACGTTTGCAGACACTCTTCTCTCAGTAAAAAGAATTTGGTTTGGAGCAGAATTCAGACTTGGGAAGAAGTAATTTGATTTTTGTGGCAATGATTACGGTAAATGTTGGTATTGTTTTCTTAATTTTTACACAAATGTTTTCACTGAAAGCAATTTTATTTGTTTTTAAGGCACAATACCATTTGAGAGAAATCAGTATGTTGAATTTTTAAAAATCACGTTTCATTTTTTGTCATATTGCCCAGCCCAAAAGAAGATACAAACATTTTGAAAAAACATTACATAGTCCACTTTTTGCATAGTTAGAACAATTGGCAATTTCCTGTCCTTCCTTAGAGAGGAAAAACAAAACAAAAAAACTATAATGATACGTGTATGAAAATGTAGCATCCACTTACTTACCTTATTAATTGTGCTGTTGTTTATTCCTTTTTCACAGCCTGATCTTTTCCCTGTTTGCACTGTACTACATCAACAAAGTATCTGCTGCCCTGTACCAAGCAGCCGTGCCCATAGTGACCCCGGCTAAAGCTGCCAGCAAGAGCAAGAGGAAGAACTGATCCAGCAGTACTCCGCTTCGGTCACACTGTTGTTATATTTTCCACTCTCACTTCAATGTCAGACATCAATTATGATTTGTACATGTAAAGTGCATCTGCCCACATTCCATCTGTAAATGTTATACTGTATGCGCCCATCTGGTTTCAAGTGATTACATTGGAGTTAGTTTTGAGCTAAATATTTTTTCATTCATTTTATAAATAAACCTGAAGGAAACGTCTTCTTTTGTGTTGGTTGCTTCACCTTTTCTCTCAGCAGCGTCTGTAGGTTTAACAAGGTGTGGTCACATTGTTGGATGGTGATGACACACCTTTTACTGTCTTTGGCGTTGCGTAGTTTTATGTTGTGTAAAACAGATTCTAATGATTTCTTTGAGGATTTGCAATGATATGAACATTTGCACAGATAGTAAATGAGCATGGACTGTTATCAGGCTTTTAATGTGAGCGTCAAGAGTGTGGTATTTGCACTTGGCTCTGGCTACATCCTCCTCCCTTCCTTCTCCCATCTTGGCTCTGGGCGTGTTGCTGCACGGTATAAAACCTTGGATAAACTTTTCCCGTACCCTCTCCGTAGGACTATTACCACTTCACCACAACTTTCTCACACCTCCCACTCGGTAAGTTATCTTAAATGCAATATATATTTTACATTTACTTGAGCATTTCCCGTTTACAGTAGGATAGATTGTTTAACTTTGATTTTTTTCAACCTTACCGCTATGGTTTTGGAACATATTTGGAGAATTACGCACAGTTTCCTTTTGGCACGCTCTAACTGGACACTCACCCAAGTTTTCCACACACTACGTACTTTTTGAGCTCGTTTCGCGTATGTTTGTTTTGAAAAACGCTATAACAAGGAAATAACAGCTTAAAACACCTTTTTTTCTGGCTTTTTAAATGAAAACCTTGTAGTTATTCATAGTTATCTCATGCGCAAGAATTTGAGAAGGGGCTTGGCCAACACCCACGGAACACGCTGTAATCATCAGTGTAGTATAACTATAATTTACTGTACATTAAGCAGTTTTTTGGTCTCATTTCAGTAACAATGTCTGCATGCACTGACCTGGAGAGATGCATGGAGTCTCTTATTGTGGTTTTCCATAACTATGCCAACGAGGACAAGGATGGATCCACATTAAGCAAAAAAGAATTCAAAAAACTTGTTGAGACAGAACTACCTAATTTCCTGAAAGTAAGATATAGGAGTGGTTCATAATTTAATCTCATAAAACTGCAGATATTTATGTTTTTTTTGTTTTGTTTCAGGCCCAGAAAAACCCAAACCTGGTGAACCAAATGATGAAAGACCTGGACCAAAATAAAGACCAGAAGATAGATTTTGAAGAATTCCTTTCTCTGGTCAATGGCCTTTCGATGGCATGTGAAAGATGTTATAAACTGCATGAACAGAAGGGCAAGAAGTAAAACAAAAATATGAAACATCACTGAGACAATCCTTAAATAAAATAAACAACAAATCATGCAACGTGTTTCTGTTTTTATTTAAATTCATTTCTTCCTCAGTAAACTCTGGGGATGCTTCATGGAGAAAAAACAATGCAAGAAATAACATTCCACATCATGAGCAGAAGGAGGAAGAATAACAAGTCATATTTAACCCCTACAACATTCATTTCACAATAAAAGACAAAACTAGATACCCTTCAGAGTAAATTATAGTTGTAGTTATTTTTACACTCATTTACGATAGATAGATTTTATTGAACCCGAAGAAAATGTAAATTTATTTAGATATAAGGTCATCATTTGTTCATATTTATTCTTTGTTAATATTTGAGTTGTATTTATATGTATTCACTGTTGTATATAAATTGTTATCTCTGCAGAAGCTGGATGAGCCTGCTGAGTGAGTTGACATCTGTTGTAGATTTTAAGATGATAAATGTGCAGAGCTGAATGTGCTTGCATCAAGTGTATCAAAAACAGACCTAAAACTACATACCTCTGCCTCAACATGAACACCAGTGAATGGGATCAAATTATTCCTCTATAGGTTCACTTGCACAATAATAAAATTTGAGGAGCGGCCAAGCATAGGCCTGTAATTTAAAAATGCAAGAATCCTCATCAGTCATTATGAGAGCTGGTGGGTGGATACGCTACACACTTTCTTCTGTGAAAATGAAATTCTCTTTATATTGACAAATTTTAAATGTAAAAGTGAAACAAAAGTAACCTACTCCATGAAAGCGTTAAATAAGTCATCCTGAACAATTTCATGCAGCTTCAGTGCTTTCGTTACTGAGCGACAGATCTAAAATTACACAACAATTTGTACATTTGTTATCGAAAATAGATAAACTAGGGCATAAATATATTCACTAATCATTTCTATGCTCATTGTCAATTTAGTATAGTTAAAAGTATAGTTAATTCAATTACAGTTAAACCTATTTTTATATATTTGTTATTTATATTTGTTTCTCGGACATTGCCACGTTTATTTTATTTTACTTTGTCTTTCATTGTACCTGTGCTATGTCTCAGTGCTATGCAAGAATCCTCATCTTTAGAGCTGGTGGGTGGATACACTACACACTTTCTTAAGTTAAAATTAAATTCTCTTTATAGTACAAGTAAAAGTCAAACAAAAGTAATGTGCTCTGTGCAAGGGTTAAATAAGTCATCTAGAATAAATTCCCACAGCTTCAGTGCTTTCAGTGACAGATCAAGAATTTGTTTCAAATGGATTCAATTAAAGCAACAATTTACTTCCAGCTCTGGACAAAACCTATACTCACCAGGCTCACTTATTTAGTTTACACATAAATAATAACATTAAAATGAATATAGGCCTTTTCAAATGAATGAATGAAGTAACTCACTGAAGAGTTATGGTGTAGTATAGCTGTAGAACTGCGTTGCATTAGAATCCTCACTAGATGGCGCCAACACCTCTCCAGATTTATTTTGTCTTGACAGGACTTGGGTCAGACCTGCAGATGTTTAACAAGTTTAATATAGAGTCAGTGGCCTCCTGTCTGCTACTGCTCTCTGTGTACAAGAGGTTTTACATTTGTTTTAGAAAATAATCAAGGCATAAAAATTGACTGATTGTTTCAAGGGCCCTTGTGTCATTTTAACAGTGTAGTGAATTAGTTGATTAATTAATTAATTAATCATTGCATTTATATAACACCTTTCAAGATACCCAAAGCACTTTACACTTTATTATTCATTCAATCAACACTCGGTGGTAAGCTACTATTGTAGCCACAGCTGCCCTGGGGCATACTGACAGAAGCAAGGCTGCCAATCTGCGCCATCGGCCCCTCCGACCACCACCAACAATCACGCACATACCACTTTCATACTACCATTTTCATACTAGGCAATGTGGGTGAAGTGTCTTACCTAAGGACACAACAACAGTTTTTGTCACCTGGCACTCCACTAGTGAATTTATTTTGAATTGTATTTGTTATTCATATTTCTTTGTTGAACTTTATTTGTCTTTCACTGTAGCTATGCTGTGTCCAGAACTTCCAGCTGTCTGTTCTGAGTACAGGGATTCTGAGTAACTTGGACCTGAGCCCAACCTGTACAAACGAGTTGTACTTAAAATGAGTCATGCTTAAAATGAGTCATGCTTAAGACTTCAGATATTGTTTTGTTAAGTCTGTTACTTTTGTTTGCTTTTCACATAGTTTTTACATAAAAGATCATAGAATGTAATACAGAACAAAGCACAGCTGCAATGGCCCAACTACAGAAATTAAGATCAGTTTGTATTTAAGTAAAAACTGTCTGGTCTTAAAGGGGCCCTCTGTAACCTGCATGTGCCCATGGAGATGTGATCGCTTTGCCTTTATGTTTCACAGCATAACAATCAATAAACATATCTATCTCCATGGAGACAAGCAGGTGATTTCACTTTAGTAACAGGTCAAATCTGTGGACAGGTGAGTCTGGTCACAGTAAGAATACATGTTTTCATTGTAAATTGAGAAATAAAAGTACCTGTAATGTAATAAAGAAATATTTAATGCCACCTCGGAACATTCCAGGTAAAGCTATACTTGGAGACAAGAAGTACCTTTAAATCTACTGTGGCTTACCATACTGCTCTTAA